CTACAAAAGCTGGACATACCCAGTTTTGAACACCCTGGGTTGTCTACATTTGAAAATGGTCCGCCATGATGTGGTTATTTCACATTCCTGGGCTACCATATGGTCTCAATAGGCAACACAGACCCAGCAACCAATCGGTAAACTGAATTGGGCAAGCCCTATATTGACCCTGTAACTTTCCAAAACACCATAAAACCTGTACATGGGGGGTATTGTTGTACTCGGGGAACTACTCTGAACACAAATATGAGTGTTTAAAACAGTAAAACTTATCACGACAATTAAATCACCAGTAAATGTGTAGTTTTTGTGTAACAAAAATGCAAAAAACTAATAAAAACGCTAACTTTGGCCACAAAAGACTGGACATACCACATTTTGAACACCGTGGGTTGTCTACTTTTACAAACGGTATGCCATGATTGGGTTAATTTTCATTACTGGGCTGCTATATAATCTCAAAGACAACATAGCTCAAGGAAAACAATCTGGCAAATTTTAATGCGCAAACATGGAAAAGGGGGAAGCCCTACATTTGACCCCTGTAAGTTTGCAAAAACCCATAAAACCTGTACATTGAGGGCACTGTTGTACTTGGGAGACGTTGCTGAACACATATTGGGGTGTTCTTTCTCAGTAACACATAACAGGAACTGAGAATCCATGCCTAAAGTGCAATGTGAGAGAAAAATAACAAAAAGATGACTACCCAAAAATTTAACCAAGAATGGTGGTAGAATTAGTGCATGGAAAGTGATAAAATACCACACTTTGAAATGCCCTAGGGCATAGATGTCAAACTCGGGGGCCCGTGGGCTGCATGCGGCTCACAATTAATATGTTTGCGGCCCCAGGGCTGCGAGGGAGATCTGAGTTTAAGCTCTCCCTGCACAGTGCCCGCAGTGATGCCGGGAGCCGGAATATGACGTCACTCCGGCTGCTGGAATCACTCAGCTGCGTGCGTGGGAGCTGAGCAGGGAGAGCTCAAAATCAATGCTCCCTCGTTGCCTGTCCGCTCCCCCTGCCTGCCTGAATGTACACCTGCCCAGCAGCCCCACTAGACACCAGGTAAGAAATCCACCCAGCTCTCCCAAAGGTAAAGAGGCTGGGTGGATTTAAATTAAAATAATAATAAAAAAGTTTGTTGGGGGGAAATGTGTGTGTGTGTGTATGGGTGAATGGCTGTCTGTGTTTGTGTATTGCTGTTTGTGTGTGTGCATGGCTGTCTGAGTGTATGCGCCTGTGTGAGAGTGAGGGAGCCTGTTTGTCAGTCAGTGTGTGTCTGTCAGTGCATGTGTGTGTGTTGGAGTGATTCTGTGTGTATGTCAGTGTGTGTGTGAGGGAGCCTGTGTCTGAGTGACTGTATCTGTGTGTGTTTGAGTGATTTTGTGTGTCTGTCAGAGAGTGTGTCTCCGTGAGAACAGGGGCAGGGGTTCAGTAGATGGGGGGGGACTGGGGTTTAGTAGAGGGGGTCGCTGTTTCGTTTTTTTTTTTTTTTTTAATACTGTTCTTTTGAAAACAAAAACAAACAAACTTACATTTCCATGAAAATTAACATTTTTGTTTTTTTGTGGCCCACATAAACTTAAACCTTCTTTATTTGGCCCTTGCTAGCCTTTGAGTTTGACATGCTTGCCCTAGGGTGTCTACTTTTCAAAAATATATGGTTTGAGGGGGGTAAATTACATTGGCCAGCTTAAAAAATTTCCCAAATAACACATGGGTGCATGATGACCAGCTGTGAAAATTCCAAGTTAGAAAACTGGAATGCGCACCCTCCAAATAAGGGTCTTTTGGCCCCGTGAGAACCCGACACACTTATACATGGTGGAGTATCACTGTACTCAGGAGATGTTGCTGAAGACATATTGGGGTGTTCTTTGGCAGTTTCCCTTAAATTTCTCGGTATAGGTATTTTTAAATTGCTGTGTGTCAAAAAAATAAAAATCACTAATGTTTTTTCTTATTTTTTATTTGGCATAGATTGGTGGTAAAATGGTTGCATGAAAAGAGTCAAAACACCCCAAGTTTAATACCTTAGATGGTCTGCTTTTAAAAAATATATACAAGGGTTAATCAGAGATTCCTGACAGAAATCAGTGTTACAATGTAATGCGTTAATTTTGAAAACAAATGGTTTGTAAAAAGCAAAGTGCTACTTGTACTTATTGCCCTATACCTTTCAAAAAAAGCTAAGAACATGTTAACATTGGGTATTTCTAAACTCAGGACAAAATTTAAAAACTATTTAGCACGGGTGTTTTTTGGCGGTTGTGGATGTGTAACAGATTTTGGGGGTCAACATTAGAAAAGGTGTGGTTTTTTTCAATGTTTTCATTATATTTTATAAAAAAATGTTTATAGTAAATTATATGATATGATGAAAATATTAGTATCTTTAGAAAGATAATTTAATGGCGAGAAAAATGGTATATAATATGTGTTGTTACAGTAAATGAGTAAGAGGGATTTTACAGTTAAACACAAACACTGCAGAAATGTAAAAAGAGCCCTGGTCCCAAACGGTAAGAAAATTTAAAAAATGGTTTGGTCACTAAGGGGTTAAATTAATAAAAAAATAAAAAAAATTTTATTGCACTTTTTCTTTATTTCCGAAGATATAAGTTTATGGGATACAGAAAAAAGAAATAGGTGACATTCAATGCATACATCATAGGGTCATATAACAGTTCGTGCAATTACACACATCGTTTTGTTCTGTGGTAAGATGACTGCATGGTCCCTGGGGCGGTTTTAATAATATGTTAACTCCTGTATTATTCAACCGGATAGGGGGCACTCTCTGTCATAAGTCGTCAGAAAGAACGGTATGCAACTTAGGTCGGCAACGAGCCGTGGGTGAGAACATGAAACAGGGGAGGGGGTAGGGGCTAGGGGTGTCCTGCCTCTTACTTCATCATAATATGGTAGTGAGTGTGCCTTAAATGGTGTCTACCATGGTGACTCAAACTGGGGCTGTAGGTCGCTAGCACGTCTGGGCCTTCGGTGCGCTACTCTAAGGGCATCTAAGTCCTTTGCTCTCCCAAGGGCTTCTCCCAGAATTCCGTCCAGGGGCTCCATCTTTGGAGATGTATGTGTCTTTTTCCCAACAGTGACCAGTGGATATCTTCCATGCATCTTGTGTGTTCTACCCTCTGTACCCACTGTTCTTTGGAAGGCGTGGTGGTAGTCCGCCAGTATAGCGGGATAAGAGCATTGGCTTCCCCTAGTAGGAGTTGTAGTAACTGTTGTTTATGAGATTCTGGGAATGTGCGGGGCCAACCTAGTAGGATCTGTGATGGGGATAGGCGTGATGGTGGTTTTAGTATTTCTGTGATGGTTGAGAGTACGAGAGACCAGAATCCCTGGATGTCTCTGCAGCTCCACCATATGTGTTCCATGTCACCGCGGCCATTAGAGCATCTCCAGCATGAACCGCTGATGGACGGCCAGGTTGAGTGTAACTTATCTGGGGTTCTATACCATCGGGTGACCCTTTTATAAAATACTTCCTTGTGTGCTACGCTAAGCGGGGTTTTGATGCCCGTTTCTAAGATATACGACCAGTCTTTGTCAGAAACGTGTATACGGAGGTCTTTCATCCATTTCTGTTGGAATGATAAGGTTGTGGGTTCCCTTTCGGAGTCTTGCAAAATGTGGTATATTTTGGATAAGGGGCGTTTCGGGTCCCCCTCTGGGCCACAAAGGTTCTCAAAGTGTGTGTCTGCTCTCTGCCTCCAGTAGGGTAAGACCGATCTTCTCAAGAAGGCCTTAAGTTGTGCTCTTCCTATTACCTCAATGAGTGTATCTTGCCTATGTGGGTTGTTTATAGTCTGAATAATGGGTGGGTCTCCCCCAATCAATTCTGTTATCATTGGGGTGGGGGAGTCTAGGAGGCGGGTAAGGAGAGGGCCCCCGTGGCCCCCTTGAAAATCAGGATTGGCAGCTATCGGGAAAAAACGCAAAATGCCAGGTGATAGTCCCCATATGTCTTTATACTTTCTCCATAGAGTCAGGATGTTATGTATTAATGGATGTCTCGTAGGGGTGAGCGCTGTGGGGTGGCAGGTTTGCCAGGGCAGGGAGTTTAATGGGACAGAGACAAAGCTTTGTTCCAGGGAGTACCACGATTTGACCCTGGCGGTGTCAGTCCACTCTTTTAATCAGGTGAGCAGCACCGCTATATAATATTTGTAGAGGTGGGGTAGGCCCAGTCCACCTCTGCCTGCAGAGGAGGTCAATGTAGTGTAGGCAATTCTCGCTGGTTTATTGCCCCAGATGTATTTGGTAAAGCATGTGCGTGTCTGCGCAAAGAACGTACTCGGGAGTGGGATAGGCAGCGCCTGGAATATGTATAGTATTTTCGGGAGGACCATCATCTTGATGATGTTGATCCGCCCTATCAAGGAGAAATGGGGTAGGTCCCATTTTTGGAGGTCCCGTTTGATGCCGTCTAGGATGGGGGGATAATTAAGTTTGTATAGACTGCTTGCGGAACAAGCTAGCTTTATTCCTAAGTAGGTCAGTCCTGTCTTGGTCCAGGGGAACGGGTGTAGCCGTTGGAGCCGTGTTTGTAGGGTTGGGGGGACTGAGATCCCCAGGGTCTCGCGCTTATCTGTGTTAATCTTAAAATTAGAAAGGGCGCTAAAGGTTTGTATCTCTGAATTGATTCGTGGTAATGTGATGGTGGGGTCTGTGATTGAGAAAAGGATGTCATCCGCGAAGGCTGATACCCTCACTTCTCCTCCTCGGTGGCGGAAGCCCTTTATTTCACCGTGTTTCCTGATTGCATTCAGGAAAGGTTCCATGGCCAAGACAAATAAGAGGGCTTGAATCCAATTTCGTAGCCTAGGGCCCACTCCCAAGACCTCCAAGACCCTGAACAGGTATGACCAGTCCACCCTGTCAAAGGCCTTTTCGGCATCTATTGCCATCAGTAGGGTCGGTGTCCTGGTCACCTGCGCCCCATGAATGACATTTAGGATTTTCGTGGTGTTGTCCCTAGCCTCGTGACCTGGCACAAAGCCTGCCTGGTCAGGGTGGACTAGACTGGGCAGAAGAGGCTTGAGTCTGTTGGCGATCATTTTCGCCATTAGTTTTAGGTCCAGGTTTATGAGCGATATGGGTCTATAGCTACCGCATCTTGTGGGGTCCTTGCCTGGCTTGGGGATGATGGTATTGGATGCTCGCAGCATCGGGGGTGGCAGTGTGGAGTCAAGGGCGATGCCATTCAGCATGCGTAGAAAGTGGGGTGCTAGCTCTTGTTTCAGGGTTCGGTAGTATCTGGCTGTCAGTCCGTCTGGACCAGGGCTTTTACCGTTCGGGAGTGTTTTAATTGTGGAGAGTAGTTCTGCGTGTGTGAAAGGTTCGTCCAGTGCATGGATCTGGTCTACTGGGATCTTGCAAGATATGTTGTCAGAGATATAGTCCCGCAGGGTATGTGGTTGTGTCTTCGGGGGGGTCAAGTTATAAAGGTCAGCGTAAAAAGTGGTGAACGCCTTGGCTATGTCTTCCGTGGTGTTGTGCTGTCTGCCTGAGTCGTCCACTATTTTATTTATGAATGACTTTTGCTGTTTGGCTTTCAAGGCTCTAGCCAAAAGTTTCCCACTCCTATTGCCTTGTGCGTAGAACGTCCCCCTTGTCAGTTGGATAGATCTGTATGCCCTAGTAGTCAGGAGGGTTCTGAATTCGAGTCGTAGGGCTGTTAACTTTCGGAGGTTATCATTTGTGGGGTCTTGTTTATGGCGGGTCTCAGCTGTTATATCTGCTGTGAGCGCCTCTAGTTTGTGTGACCTTTCTTTTTTAAGTCGAGCGCCCCATTTAATAAGTATACCCCTGATGACTCCCTTGTGGGCTTCCCAAACCCAAGGATCTGACACCTCAGTGCCACTATTCTCCTTAAAGTAGGTCGCTACAGTCTGACGCAGATCCTCTAATACCCTGTGGTCGTCTAGTAGGGTTTCGTTCAGGCGCCACTGTGTAGTAGGCCTGGACCTATCCTGTAGGGTGAGAGTTAAGAGGATCGGGGCATGATCCGACCACGTAATGTTGCCTATGGATGCGTCATGGACCATGTGGAGGTGTCTATGGCTGATCATGAACATATCTATTCTGGAGTAGCTTTTAGCTGTCTGAGAGTAGTAAGAGTAGTCTCTGCCTTGGGGGTGCATGATCCTCCAGCAGTCAGATAATTGGTGTGTGTGTAGCACGTTAGAGAACATCCTCCTTTGATGTCGTCTGGTGTCTGTAGTGGTGGAAGAGCTGTCAATTGAATGGTCAAGAACCATATTCCAGTCTTCGCCCACTACCACTAGTCCCTCAGCAAATGCCTCTAACTTGGTCAGACATGATCGTATATAAGAGGCCTGGTCTGCATTAGGGACATAGATGCTAGCTAGAGTTACTAAAGTGCCATTGTACATTCCTTTCACAAAAACAAATCTGCCTCTGGGATCAGTTCTAACTCCCATTTCTGTGAAGGCGGCAGTAGAGGCTATGAGTATTGCAGTGCCTCTGGACTTCTTTTGGGTGTTGTTACTGTAGTATGCTAAGTTACTACATTTGTAGTGGATTCTTGGTTTGAACTCCCCCCTGAAATGCGTCTCCTGCATGAAAATTATTTCGGCACCTCGTCTATCAATCTCCTGTGCTAGCATTGTGCGTTTCATGGGAGAATTGAGACCCCTAACATTTAGGGACATCAGTTTGGTTTGAGTCATGGTGGTAAGAGCGGTGGTAAGAATGTCTCAAATAGGACATGGGGAGCACCTGTAGGCAGTGTCTTCAGTACGGTAGTAATGGCAGGGGTGTTTGATGGTAAGTGGACGGGGGATAACCGTGAACTATATACATTAAAACAGTAGGTGAGAGTCACCTCTGGAGATTGGCGCTACACTTGTGGATAACTTGCCGTGTCCACAAGTGGGGTTGTGGCGCCTCTCTAGGGGGTGGTGGCCGGAGCGCCCGACCGGGTGTATCATAGAGGCCTCACAGGGCATTGTAGAGGTGATTCAACCTACCTCCACTACTCTAACTAGGGAGGTCGGAGGTGTGTGTTGATTTGGGAGTAATGTGTGCCCTGTGAGCCAGGCCGTCTGGAGCCCTGATGGGAAAGCTAACCCAATATTTTCCTCGTAAACTCTAGGGCCCGGTACGGCAATGTAACATGTGTTCATAAAGGCATAACAAAGTTTAACATAGTATAACATTTCAATATTTGCATCACAGCGTGGAAGTAATGTAAGTCCATTCACTGGGTGTATCATAGTGGATACCCGCATGGCAGGATTGAGAGATAGAATGGTAGAGAGGAAAAAGAGAGAGATTCTGATCATACGACCATGTACTGCTCATGTCGGTGCTGCATCTGCTCCAGGATGGTTCTGTCTACGACGTTTTCGAGGGGACTTTTGCCACTTAGGTTTATGCGGAGTCCGTCCCGATGATGTGCCTCTCAGGCCCGTCCAATCCTCCACCTCGGACGACGGTAGTTTCAAGGCTCTTTGGAATTCGGGTATGTCGTCTGGTGAGGTTATAGTGTGCGTTTTGTTTTGGAGCGTAACTGTGAGAGCGAACGGGAAGCTCCATCTGAATTTGATATGTCTCTCGGACAGGTCCTGTGTGATAGGTCGTAGTGCATGCCTAGCTTGCAGCGTGGACGGCGCTATGTCCTGGAAGACGATCACCGGGTGTCCGTCAATCTTGATATCCTTGTTCTGTCATGCTTTGTGGAAGATTTCTTCCTTTAGGGGGAAGTTATGTATGCGACAAATAATGTCCCGTGGTTTATCTGGAGGCAAGTTCCTAGGTCTGGCCGCTCTGTGGGCTCTATCAAATAAGATGGCTGTGTCCAGTGGTCTGGTTAAAATGCGGTTGAAGAGGGCGGTCAGGACCTGCACAGGGTTTTCTGGGACACCTTCTGCACTCTCAGGGACACCTCTCACCCTCAGATTATTTCTGCGTCCCCGGTTATCTACATCTTCTAGCTGTCTCTGCAGGTACCTGATTGCCTCTGCGTGTGTCTCCTGGGTAGTATAGGACTCAGCCCATTGTTTCTCAGTAGTTTCTGCCTCTTCTTCCAGAGCCTGGACTCTATCCCCTAGCAGCTGCACGTCTGCAGTAACAGCCTGAAGTTTCTCACTGAAGCTATCCTCCAGTTTCTGGAATAAAGCTGCCAGGTCGGTCTTGGAGGGTAGTTGGGTCAACAAGGACCGAATATCTTGTTCCTCTGTGGGCTCGTCTGATGCCGTCGGGCTCGTCGGCTGGCTGCCTCGCGTTTGTGCCGCGGGCGCCATTTTGTCCAGTCTGTGTGATTCTGCGTTTTCGCTGAAAAAGCGCCGCAGGGAGGTTTTGGCTGCCGGTGTTTCGGAGGTAGGAGCTTGCCCCGTGGTGTTGCGGTGTTTTTTTGGATGCCATTGTGCACTGTTTGTGGCATTTTCCCCCTGAATCACCCGGTCAGGGTCTGGAGCATCGCGCTCATGCGGCCATGTCCGTCGGCTGTCAGGCCACGCCCCCGTTAAATTAATAATTTGATTTCTTTGGAAGCCATTACATTATTTACATTGTGATGGAATTCCAGTAAAATAAAAGTTTAGCAGGCCAAGATTGCCACAAGGCTTATGTAGGTACATGTGTTTGTAGTATCAGTTAGTTAGTTACACGTAGCTAAGATACTGTCATCACTGTACTGAGCATGTGCAGGAATGCAGGAACTGGAATCAGCGTCCCTCTCCTTTGTTTCAGATGAGCCACGTGGTTAGACCGGATGGATGAGTTTAGACTCTATTCATTGATTAGGTTAAGGGTATGTGTGGGCGTAGCTCATTATGGGAGGAGCTACAGTGCTATATAAGGAATGTACTCTATGTATTCAGTGCTCAGATCTTTGCTGTTTTTGGTGACATAAGTCCCTCTGAGTCCCAGTCGGTGAATCGAATAAAGATCTCTTCCTTCCTGAAGAAACCTGTGTCCATCTCTCTGTGCTTGGCCTCCGTCAGTTTCCCGGTAACATCTGTGGTGCATTGGCCGGGAAGCTCGTTGTTAACGGTGGCTAGGAAGCAGAGGCGTGAGACGGTCTATCTTTGCCCACGTTCTCTACGGCTGCACCCCTGAACTTCTGCGTGGACCTCCAGTCGTCTCGGCGCCACTGGTCTGTTGTACAGGAGATCATCGGCCTCTACGTAGTAAGTACTGGGGTGTCCCCGTCGATGAGTGTGAACTCAGGTTCAGGAACGAGGAGGTAAGACGACTACTGTTTTAGACGGTGGATCCACTAGGGGTATGTTCAGTAGGACCATAAGGGGTTTGAATTGTTCGGTAGGCCCATAAGGGGTTTGAATTGGAATTGTGTATGGAATTGGCCCCCTCCAGGGAGGGAAGGAGCGAAGGTGCACCACTCATAATTAGACGCCCTGTAGTCAGCCCGTCTAATCTTGGTATGGAGTCAGGCTGGGTCTTGGTTGAATGTATATAGCCCAAGCCGGACACCGGTGTCTTGTCTAGACTAGCGTATCTAGGGTGTACATTTCGTTCGCTAGGTCGGAGGGACCGGGAGACTAAGCAGACTCTGGTGTACATCATAATTTGCTAGTTCTCAACCTATCTTGGCTAAGTGGGAAGGCGTGTAAATTTGGAACCCACTAGACTATTGATAGAGTAGATAGACTAAAAGGGTATTGTTGTAAATTCCGCCCTCTAGTTCGCTATATGTGGTGCTTGGGCAGCGACGGCTAACCAAAACGGATGTAAATAGTTTTAGGTAGTCCCTCGAGGTACTGTCCAATAGATTAGTTGGGAAACTGTAAATGTGTTAAAATTTATTATAATAGAGTGTATATCTTGCTGGGTAGCGTGAGCTCTGCCGTCTAGCGAGAGTGTGAATAGTGTGTAACTGTATCATATCGCACGGTACCATAACCATGTATTATAATCACTGATACTGTAAATAATCACTAATAACTGTCGTTTATGTTGTATGTTCAACACCATAACTACTATTAACTGACCTGTGACTTTAAAACTGTATTCTAACCAATGCTAACCGTACTATAACTACTGTTTGTAAAGACAATGTTACTAGGGTGTGTTATAGACGGGTAATTTAAATACTGAGAATTATAGCGTGGGTAATTGTATAATTTCGCCAAAAAGGTACAGTGATAGTTATTTAGTGTGTGGTGTAACAGCTGTGTGTGTACGGGAATTCCCTGTATGATTTGTTGTGTGCGTTTGGCCTTGTAACTGTGCCACGTGGTGCTGTTGCCAGGGGAAACGGGTGTGACTGTTGGAAGTGTGTTTTGTTTTGTTTCTATTGGAGACGACGCTCCATTGTTAAGTATGGGTGTGTTGGATTCAAAGATCGTTGATCCCTTAAATTGCATGTTAAAGAATTTTAAAAAGGGATATATAATGTATGTGATTTTGGGGTAAAGATGTCTCCAACACGTTTGACTACTTTATGTAGCAGGGAATGGCCTGCCTTAGTGGTTGCATGGCCTCCACGTGGTAGTCTTGATCCTAATCTAGTGCAGCGTGTACACGTAGCTGTATCTGGTAGGCCGGAACTTTACGACCAGTTTCCATATATTGATTGTTGGAAACAGGCCGTGGATGACTTGCCAAAATGGATCAGGGTGTGCCAAGAGGAGCAATGCCGCCTCCTGTTGGCCAGAACTCGTTTGTCCACCAAGGCCGTGATCACGCCCATTCTGGACAGGCCCCCTGAGTCAGAGATTCCTTACTCCTCCTCTACAGGAAGAGGAAGAGGAGGTGCGGCTAGTAATGCCACTCCCCTTGCCCCATTGTCTCCTCCTACCCCATCCTCTAGCTCAGAGCCCAGCCCACTTGTTCTAAACCCTCCCCTTCTGGTACCTACCCCCACTAACTCCACCTATCCGGATTTGACGTCATTTCTGGTTCCTGGTCAGGCTCCTCCCAGCCCGGCCCGGAATATTCTGCTTACCAACCTCCCCTTCAGTAAAGAAAAAGCGTCCCCCTCCCCTCGTCTTACTACCCCTCGACCGGAACCCATAACTGACCTTCCTCAACGAAGCCCCATACTAACCCGACAATTGACCGGTACCCTCCAACCCCGACATTATCAAATGCCTCTCCGATTGACACCGGGCCCGACACACATTAATGGTGAAGGCCAGTTACAACATGCCGACCCCGTATTTGTTTATGTTCCCTTTACCACTACGGATTTGTTCAACTGGAAAACCCATAACTCCTCTTACACAGACAAACCTCAAGCCATGACAGATTTGATTACCTCCATAATCCAAACGCACAATCCCACTTCGGCTGATTGCCAGCAATTGTTTATGACATTGTTTAATAACGAGGAAAGGACTCGGATTAATCAGGCGGCAATTAAAGCGCTTGAAGAAGTGGTCCGTGCACAGAATCAGGCCAACCTGGTAGCATGGGCCGCAGCTCATTACCCAAACGTAGATCCGAATTGGAATGTTAATGGTGCTGATATGGCTCACCTAAAAGGTTATAGGGAAGCCATTATTACTGGCATGAAAGCCGGAGGGAAAAAGGCTATCAATATGTCAAAGACGGCTGAGGTATTGCAGAAATGTGATGAGTCGCCCAGTGCCTTTTATGACCGATTATTGGAGGCATACCGATTGTATACCCCCTTTAGTCCAGAGGCTCCTGAGAATTCCCGGATGGTTAACTCTGCCTTTGTCAGCCAGGCTTACGGAGATATTAAAAGAAAATTGCAAAAGCTAGAAGGGTTTGTAGGGATGTCTATAACTCAACTAATGGAAATAGCAAATAAGGTTTATATGAATAGGGAGACAGAGACGAAGAAGGAAGAAGAGCATAAGATGAGAAGGAAGGCAGATATGTTAGCGGTAGCTATCGCTGCTGTAGATAGGAGGGAAAAGGAAGTGTACAGGGGAACCGAGAAAAGCGAGAATAACTGGAATAGGGAGCCTTTAAGTAGGAACCAATATGCATATTGTAGGGAAGAAGGGCATTGGAGGAGTGAGTGTCCATTGAGGGAACAACATGAGAGAGACAGAACAAGGGGAGGATATAGTAATAACTATAGAGATAGAGTGAGAGGAAGAGGAGGCCCTGGAGGAAATGGTGGGAATAGTAGAGGAAGCGTTCAAGGAGATAGGTATTACCTAGCAGCGCAGAGACCGCGAGAAAGAGAAGATAGGGACTTTGTGGGTTTGGCTGACACTGTCATGGAGGACTATTGATACCGACCGGGCTCCATCCCCCTTGGTCGAGCGGAGCCTATGGTCGATGTAGCAATAGGGGGAAAAAGGAGTACTTTCATGATCGACACTGGTGCTGAACATTCTGTGGTAACCTACCTAGTTGTTCCTCCTTCAGGAAGAACTATCATTGTAATAGGAGCAACTGGGAGGAGTGCTGCTAAACCAGTTCTCAAAAGTCGACTCTGTACACTGGGAGGCCACGTAGTGAAACATCAGTTCCTTTACATGCCTGAATGTCCAGTCCAACTTCTAGGACGGGATTTGTTGTCGAAGTTACAAGCACAGATAACATTTCTGCCTAACGGAACGACATCCTTGAAGTTTAATGGACCCTCAGGTATAATGACACTATCAGTACCAAAGGAAGAAGAGTGGCGACTTTATACAGTGATGACAAGTCAAAACCCTAAGAGTGATGAATCTTTGTATAATATACCAGGAGTGTGGGCAGAAAATAACCCACCAGGACTTGCTCGCAATATCCCACCTATACGCATCGAACTAAAGCTTGGGGTTTATCCAGTAAGCCTGCGACAATACCATATACCTCAAAAGGCGAAGAAGAACATACAGTCTTATTTGGATAAGTTCATAAGGTATGGTATCCTAAAATTCTGTACTTCCCCCTGGAATACTCCATTGTTGCCTGTTCAGAAGCCTGGGTCAGATGAGTATCGTCCTGTGCAGGATTTGAGAGCAGTCAATGATGCGGTAGTAAGTATACATCCAGTTGTGCCCAATCCTTATAACCTGCTTGCCTTGATTCCGGGTGGGGCTACTTACTTTACAGTCTTGGACCTTAAAGATGCCTTCTTTTGCCTACGAATTGCTACAGAAAGCCAGTGTATCTTTGCATTCCAATGGGAAGATGCTGTAACGGGCTCGAAATGTCAGATAACCTGTACAAGATTGCCCCAAGGGTTTAAAAATCCACCTACCTTATTTGGATCAGCATTAAGTCAGGACTTATTAGATTTCAAGTCCATCCCAGGAGAATGTGTACTACTACAATACGTGGATGATTTGTTGATAGCGGCAGTTACTAAAGAGATATGCCAGCAAGCAACTTATGATTTACTGCACATTCTTTGGAAGGCAGGATACAAGGTGTCCAGGAAGAAAGCTCAGTTGTGTCAGCCAACTGTCAAGTATCTGGGATTCAATATCTCTGAAGGTCAAAGGATAATGGGGCCTGAAAGAAAAGAGGCTGTATGCCAAATACCAACACCTAAGAATAGAAGACAAGTGCGAGAATTCTTAGGGGCAGCAGGCTTCTGTAGGATATGGATTCCCAGTTATGCGATACTGGCGAAACCCCTCTATGCCGCTATTAAAGGCACGGAACATGATTCCTTCCTGTGGACCATCGAACAGCAGAAAGCATTTGAGGATGTTAAGAAGGCATTGATGAGCGCCCCCACATTAGGTCTACCTGATCATACACATCCATTCTACTTATATGTACACGAGCAAAGAAGGATGGCTGTGGGAGTACTGACACAGTATCTGGGATCATGGCAACGACCTGTTGCGTATATGTCCAAACAATTGGATGCAGTAGCCAGTGGTCTTCCTCCTCGTCTAAGGGCCATAGCTGCCGCCGCCCTGTTGGTAGCAGAAGCTGACAAGCTCACTCTGGGTCAGGAACTCTATGTGCGAGTCTCGCATGCAGTACAGACGTTGCTAGACTATAAAGGTAATCATTGGTTTAGCAATAGCCGCATGACTAAGTATCAAGCCATGTTATGCGAGAACCCGAGAGTGCATCTTGAGACTGTTAATACCTTGAACCCAGCTACCCTCTTGCCGCAACCTACTGAGAGTCGACATGATTGCCTGGAGGTAATGGATGAAGTGTTCTCAAGTAGACCGGACCTTCATGATTTTCCCATCCAGAACCCCAATGTTCAGTATTACACGGACGGCAGTAGTTACGTGAAAGAAGGGATTTGCTATGCGGATATGCAGTGACAACTATAGACAAGGTGATAGAAGCGCGGCCATTGTCAAAAGGAACATCAGCACAGAAGGCAGAATTAATCACACTTACACGGGCTTTGCAATTGGCTGAAGGGTTGAAAGTAAATATCTACACAGACTCAAAGTACGCGTTTTTAACCACTCATGCCCATGGAGCTTTGTATAAAGAAAGAGGATTACTGACCTCAGAAGGAAAAGAAATCAAGTACGCAGCTGAGATATTACAACTATTGGAAGCTGTATGGGAGCCGAAGGAAGTTGGTATCATACATTGTCGAGCACATCTGAAAGGTGATGGTGATGTGGTGAAAGGAAATCGGATGGCAGATAGTGCAGCTAAGCGTGCCGCTGAATCCGGACAAAAAGAATATGTGGAGTGTGTAGCAGCTCTTATACCGACCCCTCTGTCCCAGTGGACTCCAGTTTATACAGCTCAAGAAGTAGAGTGGTTAAAGACTGAAGCTGGGAAATATTTGGAGAATAATTGGTATCAGTTAGAAGATGGAAGAATAGTTATTCCAGCATCACTAGCTGTACAAATCGTCCAGAATTATCATAATAGGACACATTCTGGAAGAGATAGTATGGAAGAATCTCTTAGGAAGCATTTCTACATACCAAGATTGTCCAACTTGACTCAAGCCATTGTTCGAAGATGCGTGTCATGTGCCAAGAACAACGCAAGGCAAGGTCCAGTGAAACCACCGGGAGTCCAGTACATGGGAGGGCTTCCTATGTCCGATCTCCAAATAGACTACACGGTAATGCCCAAATCCGGCGGACATCGTTACCTACTAGTAGCTGTGTGTACCTACTCAGGATGGGTAGAGGCGTGTCCAACTCGTACAGAGAAAGCAGGAGAAGTTGTGCGATTTCTGTTGCGAGAAATAATACCCCGATATGGACTACCGTGTTCTATAGGATCAGATAATGGTCCAGCTTTTGTCCATCAGTGCCTACAACAACTGACTCATATGCTTGGTATTAAGTGGAAACTTCATACAGCATATAGGCCTCAGAGTTCTGGGAAAGTGGAAAGGATGAACAGAACCATTGACCCAGTTGGCAAAAATGTGTCAAGAAACCCAACTCAAGTGGAATGTTTTTTTGCCAATAGCTCTGTTGCGCATTCGTAGTACACCTACCAGAAAGTTAGGTCTATCACCCTTTGAAATTATGTATGGGCGTCCACCTCCCATACTTAGTAACTTAAGGGGGGACTTGAGTCAGTTGGGAGAAGGAATTACCCGGCGGCAGGTTGTAGAGTTGGGTAAAACTATGGAGGAGGTACAGAAATGGGTACAAGATAGGGTACCTGTAAATATTTATCCACCTGTCCATTCTTACCATCCAGGAGACCAAGTTTGGATAAAGGAGTGGAACAGTGTACCGTTGGGGCCAAAGTGGAGGGGTCCTTATGCTGTTCTTTTGTCTACTCCAACAGCTATAAAGGTGGCAGAGGTGACTCCGTGGATCCATCACTCCAGGGTTAAACCAGCAGCAGATTCTTGGCAAGCTACTCAAGATCCTGAGAATCCCTGCAAGATCCGGTTGAAGCGAGTGACCCAGTTAGATTAAAAGTGTTTTTTGCGAAGAGTATTGTTACAAGGGAACATCAATAAAGATCTACAAGTAGGTGTTTTGACGGCCACAATAAAGCCTGACCACCTACCAACGTTTAAGCCAGAGGAATCCTCTGTGAAGAACAGTGAGGATCAGAAGGACTCCATTCCCTGCAGCCCTTACACGCCTGGAAGCTGAGGTGCCGTCGCACGGTCGAAGAATTAGGAAGATGATGTCAGGAGTAATGTGTTTGATGATGTATATATGTGTGTTTTTAATTATTCAGGAAGGTAGAGGTACCGACACACCAGGCTGCGAGGTTTGCATTAAGACTACGAAAACAGGCAATCATATTTCCCAGACCCTTATTTGGCATTCGCAATATGAGTGCACAGGACATGTATCAAAGTGTAGATACCTAAGTACAGATTATAGTGTATGCCATATAGGAGCAGGAGAACCTACGTGTTTTAATCCTGAGTATCAGCCCCGTACAATTTGGTTGACTATTCGGAATGAGAACGCACAGGGGAACCTGATAAATAAGACTGTACTAGAAAGCGTACATTCTCCAGGTGTTTTCCTATTTGATGCATGTAAGGCGATATCAGGTAGTAGGAAGCCATGGAATATATGTGGTGGTCTTAAATGGGAAAGAACGTATTGGTCTAATGATAAGTATATTTGTCCTAGTAATAAGCATAAGTATATAGATCCAAACTGCCTAAATAAAGACTACAATTATTGTCCGTATTGGTCCTGTGTGGGATGGGCAACCTGGGGACAGACAGTAGATAAGGATATGATTATCAGTAGATTGCCTACCAAGCCATATTGTAAGTCTATGGAGTGTAACCCAGTCCATATACTTATCAAGGACCCAGAGCTATTTATAGATAAGTTTGTGAATCTATTTGGGTTCCAAATATATGGAACAGGTTTGGATCCTGGGACGATATTATACATAGGAATAGAGACAGATACAGTGCCCCCCCCAGACTCATCAGGTTTTCCATTCTTTTTATGAGGAGATGAGTGTGGAAGATAAGGTTCCCCATAATGCCAAAAACATTCATAGACCTAGCTGAGAGCATTGCTGGTAGTCTTAATGTAACCAACTGCTATGTGTGTGGAGGTACTAATATGGGAGACCAATGGCCTTGGGAAGCAAAGAAGGTAATGTATTCTGGTTCTGAGACAGTTGAACAACTAATATCTTCTCAATCTGATTATCAAGTGAGTGTTAGAGGTAAATCTGAGTGGCGATTAAAGACCTCCATTATAGGTTATGTTTGTATAGCAAGGAAAGGAATAATGTTTAATACATCTGTAGGAAAATTGACTTGTTTAGGGCAGAAAGCCTATAATGACGAAACAAAGGATACTATTTGGTGGTCAGCTTCAAATGTCTCAGAACCGTCTAATCTGTTTGCAAATTATACCAATTTAAAGGATGTATAGTTTGACCTATCCGCTACATCTAGTTGGAAAGCCCCAGCAAATTTGTACTGGATTTGTGGTAAAGCATTTTCGGAGTTACCACAGGACTGGGAAGGGGCATGTGTATTGGGTATGCTCAAACCATCCTTCTTCTTGTTGCCAATTGAAACAGGAGAGACTTTGGGAGTTAAAGTATATGATGTAAATCATAGGAAGAAAAGGGCACCCCTAGAGATAGGTACCTGGGAAGATGATGAGTGGCCTCCCCAGCGTATTATAGATTATTATGGGCCAGCTACGTGGGCAGAGGATGGTACTTATGGATACAGAACCCCAATATATATGCTTAATCGTATTATAAGATTGCAAGCAGTAGTTGAGATAGTTACCAATGAAACATCACAAGCGCTCAATCTCCTAGCGAAGCATAACACTAGGATGAGGACAGCCATTTACCAGAATAGATTAGCTTTGGATTACCTATTGGCAGTAGAGGGAGGTGTATGTGGGAAGTTTAATCTAAGCAATTGTTGTCTTCAAATAGATGATGAAGGGCAAGCAATAGCTGAGCTTACTAGCCATATGGTTAAGCTAGCACATGTACCTACTCAGGTATGGAAAGGGTATAATCCGAGTAGTTGGTTTGGTAGTTGGTATGAGCAGTTTGGAGGAATCAAAGCATTGGTAGGTGGAGTCATACTAATTTTGATGTTGTGTCTCCTTCTGCCATGTCTGATTCCTTTGGTAATTAGGTCTATGCAGAGCATTATAGAAAGTATAGCAGAAAGAAAGGCCACGGCACAGGTAATGGCTGTTTGCAGGTATAAAGCTCTAGATCAAGGAGAATACATGCAGGAAGAGGAATGTTGAGGGGTTCGTATCTTTAGAGGATCGCAAAGTCTAGTCTGGTTTATGGCAACTTGAGGTGTAAGCAAACTATGATTGGTGATGCATCTGGAATTATTTTAAATCAGAAGCATCAAAGGGGGGAATGTGATGGAATTCCAGTAAAATAAAAGTTTAGCAGGCCAAGATTGCAACAAGGCATATGTAGGTACATGTGTTTGTGGTATCAGTTAGTTAGTTACACGTAGCTAAGATACTGTCATCACTGTACTGAGCATGTGCAGGAATGCAGGAACTGGAATTACGCGTCCCTCTCCTTTGTTTCAGATGAGCCACGTGGTTAGACCGGATGGATGAGTTTAGACTCTATTCATTGATTAGGTTAAGGGTATGTGTGGGCGTAGCTAATTATGGGAGGAGCTACAGTGCTATATAAGGAATGTACTCTATGTATTCAGTGCTCAGATCTTTGCTGTTTTTGGTGACATAAGTCCCTCTGAGTCCCGGTCGGTGAATCGAATAAAGATCTCTTCCTTCCTGAAGAAACCTGTGTCCATCTCTCTGTGCTTGGCCTCCGTCAGTTTCCCGGTAACAACATAACTGCTGCC